AATCTAATTTGCTTCTGTTCCAGAGGTAACCACTCTTTTTTACTGGATAGTTATGATTCCCCTACATGTTTTACTTTTATAACATCTGTATATTTACATAAACAAGATTGTAGTATAAGAAAAAATTATTTGGTATTTGTCCTCAGTTTCTAAAGGCACAGAACTAATATCCGTGGAATTTCCTGAGTTATGGGAGTATCTTTTATTGCTTGTCATAAACTCCTTCGAACAGTACCTGAATTTATGTAAATAAGGTGACTCTTAAGGAGGGTCCCTAGATAACTTCAGAATGGAAATTGATTGTCAGAAAGATCAAGCTTTGATTAGAAGATTGGAACTTTCAACTCCATGCTTCTCCACCTCGGGCATGGGAGGAGAGAGGTGCTTGAGATTGAGTTCATTTACTTGCCAATCATTTAATCAATCATGCCTACATAATGAAGCTTCCATAAAAACCTCTAAACAAAGAGGTTTGAAAAGCTTCTAAGTTAGCAAACATGTGGTGCCCAGACTTCACACATGCCAACACCGACTCCGCAGCAACAGAGGCTCCTGCACTCAGGATTTTTTCAGATCTCAATTCATCTGGCTGTTCTTTTGTATCCTTTATAATAAGCAATAGTAAGTACAGCATTATCCTGATTTCTGAGCAGTTCTGGCAAATTATCAAACCTGGGGGAGGGTTATCAGGGGAACTCCTAATTTGTAGCCAAGTAGAAGAGAAGTGTGGGTAACCTGGGGACCTCATACTTGCAACTACATCTGAAGTGAGGGAACTCCTGTGGGACTGAGCTCTTAAATCTGCGGAGTCTGGCACTAACTTCAGGTAATTAGTGTCAGAATTGAATTGAATTGAATTTTAGGACACCCAGTTGATGTTTACAGAAAATTGAAAAATTGGTTGTTGTCAGAAAAAACCTCTAACAGATATGTAGTATTAGTTTCCATGTTTTAAACTTTATGTAACTATCACAAAATGTTATTCTTCAACTTTTTATGCTCAACTTTTTAAAAAATTTATTCATATCGATTTATATAGCTCTAGTTCATTAACTTCTACATAGTTTTCCTCAGAATGAATATTTACAATCTATTTATATTTTTTCTTGCTGGTGGACACTTGGATTAGTTCCAATTTTACTATTACCAAGAAGTCAGCGATAATGATTTTAAAGCATATCTCCTTATGCAAATATGCAATTGTCTCTAGCTCACAGATATGTGTATCTTTAACCTAAGTAGAAATCGCCAAATTGCTCTCCAAAGTGATTATACCAATTTATATTCCAACAAGAAAGTGTGAGAGTCCCTGATGGTTCTCATCCTCACCAAACTTTGTACCATTTCATTTTTACATTTTGCCCATCCGATGATTGTGAAATGATATTTCTTTGCTATTTTGTATTCTCTGATTACATTCTTCTGATTGAGAAGCTTTACTTTTCAGTGTTCTATGGACATTCAGATTTCTTCTTCTGTAAATAGTCTGTTCATATGCCAATGTCAATGTACTAATGGGTTGACATCTTTCTTTTAAAACTGATTTGTTAGCTTTCAATATGTATGAACACTAATCTTACACTAGTTTATGTTAATCTCTTTATTTTTAAAATGATACACTTTTTTTGAGTTATAAAAATAATACATATTGATTATAGAAAATTGAGATAATGCAGAAAAACATCATAAAAAAATTTAAAATTCTCTAATTACACTGTCCAAGGATAATTACTGTTTTCTAATTGGGATTGATCTTTAGAGTGTTTTTGTACTATGAATCTATACTTTTTTGTTTTAGAAAACTAGTTTTATAAGCACGTATCTACTTTATTTTTAGCATTTAATTGTTCACTTGCATATATCTTAGCCCTTCAATTAGATGGTAAGATCAATGATGATAAAAGCCATGTTTTATACTACTTTGATTCCTTCGTAGCATCAACAAAATGTATTTCTTTTATTATAAGTTTACTAAATGGTGATTTAATGTTTCCTCCATTGCAGCACAACCAGATGTGAATGGTGTCATGGTCCCAGATTTGATGGTTATCGTGTCATCCAATCCTGCAATATTTTTGGAGCAACACACCTTCCTGTTATGTTTCATGTCTGTTCTTCTTCCTGCTATAGAAAAGTAAAAGAAAAATAGTTTAATTTTAGATAGTATTCCTGGTAAGAGAGTAGTTTTAAATTCTGATTTGATGAATCATACAATGATTTTTGAATCCCACTTTAAAAGCCATTAGTGTTTATATATATAGTAATTCATTTCTTTGAGAGAATAGGTACTGTATAGAAGAGAAGTGTCTTCTCTTGTGAATCTTCTTTGTAAGCCTAGCTCTCTATGAAAGTTTATGATTATGAGGGAATGTTGCAGAATAATTACTTTTAAAAAATTAGTGAAGGTTTTTGGATTTCAATGAAAATCTAGAAAATTTCTTTCAGAGCATGTTTACTATAAAAAAGTGTTATAATTCTTTGCAAAAGGAATTTATTGCACAACTGGCCTTTTCATGCATCCATTCTAAGTGATAAGATAATATTTCAAAGTCATCAGTGGAGTTTTGCCTCATATGGCCTCCAAGTCATGTATCCAAATTCCCAACGTTTGTGCATTTCTGTGGAAATCCATCCAGTGCCAACTATCTCAATTGTGGGTTGCTTTTGGGAATAAAATTCCAGTCTTATATTTACTTGTTTGCATCCATTTCTCAAGCTCTTAGAAAACTAGTATAATCTCTCCCTTCTACTGACGTTCATCTCATAAAGCCTGACTCCATAGGCTAGTGCCAGTATTCAACAGGCCTTTGGTAATAGCCTGGCAAGAAAATACAGTAAGACTTACACAATTACATTGCAGAGCCATATATGCACACAGTAGAACTTAAGGCTTTAAGAATTAGTATTTGGTAAGAGGAAGGTAAAAGAGTATTTTGATATAACAATTTTAGAATGACATATCACTTATGTGTTATTAAATCTAAAATGTTACTGCTAATTAAACTTGATGAAATAAAACCGTTACCATTGGGGTTATCTGAAATCTGGCATCACCTCAGTGGCATGGAGGGGGCCCTCAGTTATTTCCAGCCAAACTCAGTAAAGAATTATAGGTCAGAGAGATTTAGGAAAAGTAAGATTTATTGAAAGTATATTTTTAGAAGGAGATGGGCCATGCCAAGGAAGGCTGCAGCCCCGTGGAATTTTGGAAATGAAAAGACAAAAGACTGAGTATGTTCCAAGTGAAGGGTGGGTTTCAGTGAAGAAGGCTATAACCACACAGAATTGGAGAGGTCTGTATTATATTAGGGCCATGATGTGAGGTTACAAAGGCATTCCTAGATGATTGGCACATGAGGCCATTTTGATTGACATTTGGCTGTTATATAACTCTCTGCCTACTGTGCATGCAGTTACCCAGAATTTAGTCTGTTATAATTAGATTCACGAACTTCCAGACATAGGCATAATATTATAATGATGATATAAATACACCGAGGTGAAAAGAAGGTCAGAGTAATCCTTACTGAACAAGCATTTTTGGCCAGATTAAACCTGCTATGTTTATGGCTTTTTTTGCTCTTTTCTTCCCCCCTCAGGATGCAAGGGTGATTTACAACTATAAAATGAGTGTTTCATGGAAATCTTTGGAGATCGCTGGGCCTTTATTACTTTGTTCCCCTGTCACTCATGTCTGCTTAACTACCTAACAAAATGACGTAAATTTATACATCTATCTTATCATCAGAAAATGTCAGAAAATACACATTATGTCAGGTTTGTGCATATCAAGTAGTAATATGACTTAAATCAAAGATAAAATATACTAGGTAAAATGATTTTTCTGATTATTGATTTTAAGAAATTGAGATGCTTGTATTCTTCTCTTTGAGACTCAGTTTGGTTTGAAGCAGAAATAGGAAACCTTGCCTGGAAAGTATGTGCTATATTTCCCAGCAAAAGAATAAAATTATTTATATAGAAGTAACTACCATATCACATATGCAATCTAGAAGAGATATTTATAGCATAATAACAGATTAAATCATTATTTTTAAAAAATGTAATATACCCATAATTGTAAAACAAGATTAAAAAATAAGGTTAAATCCTAGTAGCATATAGGGTATTAACACTCATGCTCAGAAAATGGAAACCTAAAAGAAAAAATGAACAGATTCACTATGTAAAATTTAAAAAAAAATTATACAGCCAAAACTACAATAAATAAAGTCAAAAGATAAGCAACACACTGGGGAAAATATCTGTAATATATTTGTTTGAGAAAGAACTAGGCTATTAACCAAGGAATGTTGGTTATAAAAGACAAATACCACTTGAGCCAGTTGAAGCAACAAAAGGAAATATATTAGTATTAGTTTGTGCCTGTGTCTTTGGGTACAGCTAACTTGGAAACTTAAACTGTGTTGTTAAGGAATCATCCATTTTCCTATCTATCACTATTTATTGATCTATCTCTTAGCAACACTTTTTTTTTTTAAATTTACCTCATTTCTAGGTTTCAAAGATGGCCACTGTTGATTCCAAGTTTATGTACTGGGAAGTCAGGACCCTCAAAGAAAAGTGCACTATGTATTCCAAATAGTAACTGTAAAACCTATTAGAGATGATTTTCATTGGTTCAACTTGGCTCAGCATATCCATGTATGAACAAAACATTATAGTCTCATAGACAAAACACTCTGATTGGCCAAGACTGAGTCACATGCTCTTCTCTGGAACCAGGAAAGGAAGAATTAACTTCTTTCAAACAAAATGAAATAGATTTTCCACAAGGAAGAGTTCTGGAACTTCAAATAGTAGGGAGAAACAATTTAAGCAGCTAAAATCTAGAACCATAAGCTGTTACAAATAACAATAATTACACATAGATAAACTAAATATTTAAATAGCTATAACAATCAAAATTAAATACATGTATTATTTCATCATAATAATTATAAGAAGGTATTCCTTAAATTGGTTAAATATGGTAATTCCAACAATATAACATAATTCAGCCTATTAAAATATTAGGAAACTCTGTTTTCCTTGACATTAAAAGATATCTACCAAGTATTTTTAGAGAAATATCTTTAGAAAAACACCGAATCAGAATAGCAAAAAAGAAAAAAAGAATCCAAGAAATGAGGATAGTTTAAGGGACCTCTGGGGCAACATCGAGCAGAACGACATTCACATTACAGGGGTAACAGAAGGAGAAGAAATAAAACAAAAGATTGAGAACCTATTTGAAGAAATAATAATGGAGAACTTCCCTAACCTGGTGAAGGAAATAGACATACAAGCCCAGGAAGTGCAGAGTTCCAAACAAAGTGAACCCAAACAGAGCCACACCAAGACACATCATAATTAAAATGGCAAAAAGAGAATCCTAAAAGCTGCGAGGGAGGCAGCTAGTTATTTACAAGGGAGCTTCCATAAAACTGTTAGATTATTTCTTAACAGAATCTTTGCAGGCCAGAAGAAATGGTCACCAAATATTCAAAGTGATGAAAAGCAAGGAACTACAACCAAGATTACTCTACTCAGTAAGGCTATCAATTAAAACTGAAAGGGAGATAAAGAGCTTCCCAGACAGGAAAAAGCTAAAGGAATTCACCACCAAGTCAGTATTACAAAAAATGTTAAAAGGACTTCTTTAAGAAGAAAAAGAGAAAATATATAAATATTAATAATAAATGACAGTAACTGTATCTATCAATAATTGCTTTAAATGTAAATGTACTGGATGCTCCAATCAAAAGACATAGGGTAAAAAAAGATTTCTTTCTAGATCACAGCCATGATACATTATATGTTATCTCATATACTATTTTTTTAACAAGAGATAAGCATATGCACTTTTAAATGTCAGTGATGACTATACTAGTATACCTCCTAAGCCCCAAAAATCTTTAATAAAGCTGTATTGATAAAAACAGGAAAAAAAGACATAAGGTAGCTGAATGGATAAGAAAACAAGACCCATACATATGCTGTCTACAACAGACTCAGTTCAGATCGAAAGACACACATAGATTGAAAGTAAAGGGATGGAAAAAGATATTTCATGTAAATGGAAATGAAAAAACAAACTGAGGTAGCAATGCTTATATCAAACAAAATAGACTTTAATACAAAGTTGATATTAAGAGACAAAGAAGGACATTACATAATGATAAATGAATAAATCCAACAAGAGGCTATAACCTTAGTAAACATTTATACATCCAACATAGAAATACCTAAATATATAAAGTAAATATTGACTGACATAAAGGGAGAGATTGACAGTAATACAGTCATAGTAGGGGACTTTAACACCCTGTTGACACCAATAGACAGATCCAATAGACAGAAAATCAACAAGAAAACAGTGGTCTTAAATGATATACTACCAGATGGATTTAATTGATATTTTTAGAGCATTTCACCCCAGAGCAGCAGAATATACATTTTTCTCAAGTGCACATGGAACATTTTCCCAGGTAGACCACATGTTAGGCCGCAAAACAAGTCTCGGTATATTTAATAAGATTGAAATCATATCAAGTATCTTTTCTGACCACAATAATATGAAACTAGAAGTCAGTTAAAAGAAAAACCTGAAACATACACAAACACATGGAGACTAAATAACATGCTACTAAACAAAAAATGTGTTAACAATGAGATCAAGGAAGAAATCAAAAGATACCTTGAGACAAAAGAAACACAGTGAAAGCAGTATTAAGAAGAAAATTCATAGCAATACAGGCTTACCTCAAGAAACAAGAAAAATCTCAGATAAACAGCTAACTTTACACTTAAAGGAACAAGAAAAAGAATAGCAAAGCCCAAAGTGAGTAGAAGAAAGGAAATAATAAAGATCAGAGTAGAAATAAAAGAAATAGAGTCTAACAACAACAACAAAAAAAGACATTACAAAAGATCAATGAAACTAAAGCTGGTTCTCTGAAAAAATAAACAAAATTGACAAATCTTTAATCAGACTCATCAAGAAAAAAAGAGGACGGACCCAAATAAAATCAGAAATGAAAGAGAAGTGGCAACTGACTCCACTGAAATACAAAGGATTATAAGAAAATACTATGAGCAATTGTATGCCAATAAATTGGACAATGTGGAAGAAATAGATAAATTATT